TAGAGATGCAAAAAGAGAAAACAAAAGAAAAACGTGTGAAAGAAGAGAGAAAAGAAGAAAGAGAGAGAAAGAGAAAAGAAGGAGAGAGAAAGAAGAGAGAGAGAGAGAGAGGCAGAACGTGAAGAAGGAAAAGAAAAGAAAATTTTCTCGACGCGTTTGAGATCCGTTCGTAAGAATTTTAAACACTAAATAACTCAAATACACAAGGAATTTAATAAATAGGTATGAATTTCTCTAAATGCCCAGTGATTTTGTGTTTTCACTTTTTAATGTTTTGAGTTAAGTGTTTTTATGCGCATAAAGTAAAGATCTACATGAATATTAGCCACAGGGCTAAATATCCTAAGTGGAGATTGAGAATGGATATGACCTAAGTGAGAATGAGACGGTCAGATTTTTATCCCACTGAAAAAAGCTATGTTATGCGCGTGTTTTACTTGCTTTTCATATTAAATTGTGAAAATACTGGCATGAATCTATATTGGGTATATTTATATGCTCATTCCATATTCCAAATTATTTTTACAGATGCTTGATAGATTAGAGTTGGAGGTTGAGACTGCTGACAGAGTTCGTATTGCTGGATCAAGAATTTAATATTTTCTTTAATATTTAGTTAGAAAACATTTTTTTATTCAAATAAAAATTTTATTATTTATTATTATTTTTTCAAAATCAATGTTAAATTTTTAAAAATAAGTGCTAAATTTTTATTTCATTAGTGGTTTGAATTTATATGACTTTTTATAAGACAATAAGATAAGTTAGGTTTATTCCACAATGTTTCTCAAATATTTTTATGCATTATAATGTGCCAATCAATTTTTAAAATAGTTAAAGTGATTATTTAAGTAACCTTCGGAGCATAGGTTTCAGGGTCATTACTTGTCCCAAAAGGAGTTTATTTTTTATACCGACAATAACGCTCTTAAACATCTTTGTACTCAAGATAAGGTATTCGATCGACATGCCTCTTGGATTGCTTATTCACAACAATTTATCTTTATGATTAAGCACAAAGTAGGTGACCTTAACAAGGTGGTGAATGATTTGAGTAGGTGAATATCTCTTGTGACAGAATTATAAGTGGAGGTCCCCGGTTTTGATACCATCTGTGATTTATATGCTATCGTATCATATTTTTCATAAATTATTCGGAAGTTGCAAGAGGGTGTGCATTCGAAATTTGTATGCGTCGATTGTTTTCTTTTTCGAGGAAATCGGTTATGTATCCCTCAGGAAAGTTTGCGGCTTAAGATAATTTAGGAATTACATAATGAGGGCCATGTGGGTCGTGATCTAACATTACCGCTAGTTGCTATTTCTTATTTTTGGCCACCACTGCGTAAAGATGGCAGGAACGTTATCGAAAGTGTCATCTTGCTAAAGGCAAGGTTACTAATGCCGGTTTGTGTATTCCCCTACCTATTATGACCCAATCTTGGACAGATGTCAGTATGGATTTTGTCTTGGGGCTTCCAGAGACTTAGCGCGGATTTGATTCCATTTTGGTAGTGGTTGATCGTTTTTTTCGAAATGGTCCATTTCATACACTGCAAGAAGACTATGAATGCTATAAATGCTATAAATATGGCATTGTTTTATTTCCAAGAGGTCTATCGTCTACATGGACTTCATATTTCTATTGTGTCAGATCGGAATACTTGTTTTCTTATTCACTTATAATGCAATCTATGGCGTTTGGTCAATACACAATTGGACTTTAGCGGTGCCTACTATCCTCAAACGGATGGTCAGATTGAGGTTGTCAAATGCTCCTTAGGTGATTTACTTCGTTGTTTAGCTAGTGATTTCATCAAGTCTTGAGATCAAAAATCGTGTCAGACAGAATTTGCTCACAACCATGCAGTTAGTCGAAGTAAGCTTTAGTCCTCTTGATTTGGTTCCGGCTTCTAATAATGTTAAAGTACATGGCAAAGCTGAGAAATTTGTTCAGTAGCTGCAACAAGTTCAATCACAGACTTATGAGATTTATAGGTTGATGCTATTAAGTATAAGCGTGATGTGAATCTTAAACGTCGTCATTTCGATTTTGAGTTTGGGGGATGCTAACGAAGTATCGTATTTCTGCTCATGAATATACCAAGCTTACTGCAAGAAAAATTGGTCCATTAGAGATCATTGAGAAGATTAATCATAATGCATATCGTTTGAAGCTGCCTAGTCATATTTGTACATTTGACGTTTTTAATGTCAAACTCCTTGTGCCATTTCATGGTGATAATTATGATGATTTTTCTTCACTTCCAAATTCAAGGGAAATTTTTCTCAACTAAGGAGAATGATGCGGAGTAGAAAGAATTATATTTTATGGCAAAGTGGAACCAGTGCAAGTAGAAATTGACAATTTTTTTTATTTTTGGAGAAATTTTGGGAATGTTCGTTTTTGGTAAAATTTTAGTCAAATTTGAAGGGAAACAGACCAATGAATAAGACATATCATGATGTAAGGTCAATTTCAGGCAAATTCGTTCATTTAGCCCTTCGTTTTTGCATTTTTTCCTTCTTGGTAATTTTCGTTTAGGCATATCTCAAGTAAATAAATTCAGATTTGATTTCCTTTTTTTTTGCGAGATGATCCTAAAAATTAAGACTTTTCACTTCTATCACTTTTTTTTCCATTTATAGAAATTCTTTTTTCAGGGTTTCATTATTTAAAGGTTTGTAAGCCGTTGTTGTCGGGGAAATTGAAGAATAAATTATTTTCTTGAATTTTCTATTAATTGAAATTCCTTGTGATATTTTTTTTATCTTTCCTATAAACATTCGTCAAGTCTCTTGGGGCAAAATTACATTGTGTACTTTTTAACAAGTGTTTAGCTCACCATCTAATGCTTGTTCGACACTCGGAGAGACGCCACCAACCTAATCCCTCTCTCTCTCTCTCTCTCCCCCCACCCCCGGGGGGGTTTTTTCTCTCTCTTTCTAGATTTCTTGAAGAACAGGAGTTCGGTGACAGAGAAAGCAAAACGGAATCAGCATTGGAAGCAATTAATTCAATAAATTGATAACAATGGCTCTGTTAAGTACTGCTGCTTTATCCGCGAAATCAATCATTCAATCCCAATATCTCTTCCCCGTCTCCCAATCCCACCACCACTCTACTTTGTCGGTTATTCCCACTACTCCCATCAGTGGCGAATCCAGATCTTGACTCAGCATGGGCGGCCGTCGATCGTAATAAAATATTAATAGCTCGTTTGATGTCTTTTTTAAAAAATATTTTTTTTTGAAATAGTGATTTAATAGAGAATGTGTGGTTAAAAATAAGTATAAGTTTTGAATTGTGTGTAATATTATTTTATTGAAAAATGTATGATTAAAATAAGAGAGAGAAAAAAGTATTATAAAATAAATGGGAATTAAACAAGGTCTAAAATTTAAATATAATAATTTATTTTGTTAAAATTGAACATATATAATTATGTTATAAAAAGTAAAATGTACTCATCAAATGATATTTTTGCTAAGTTTTGTATAGTTTAAAGAAAGAGCACAAGTTTCAATCATTGTAATTGCATTAAAACCTCTAAAATCTAACATATATTTTTTTGTTAAATTAGTATCACGTATTAATAGTTGCCTTAGTGGTCACAGTGTCAAAACCTGAACTAAACTGCACAGGTTCGAATCTTATTGGCACCATTCATTGTTACATTAATTTTGGTAAAAAAAAAGTATACTAAAAATATTTGTACATTGATTTGGCTGGAAAAAAATTCGAATCCAAGACCTTCAAGACGTGAGTGCAGGGTCTAGCCAGCCGGCCAGAAGAAATGTTGGAGATGAAAGTGAATTATCATTAATATAACATAAATCATTGACTGTCAACCAAAAAAAGAAAAAAATGGCTACCGGTGGATCCAACACTGGCGGCCGTGGGAGCTCACCATGGATCCGCCACTGACTCCCATTCGCCACCCCATCTCCGCCATGCATGCTGCTGAGCCTGCCAAAACACCCATTGTCGCCACCAAGAAGCCAGCCGTCTCGCCACTGTCTTCCGACTCCAAGTGGGCTCTGGAGAGCTGGAAGACTAAGAAGGTTTTGCAGCTTCCAGAGTACCCTGATGCAGCTGAGTTGGAATCGGTGCTCAAGACTCTCGAAGCCTACCCACCACTGGTTTTTGCCGGAGAGGTCAGAAGCCTGGAGGAGCGGCTAGCGGAGGCAGCACTGGGCAGAGCCTTCCTTTTGGGGATTGTGCTGAGAGCTTCAAGGAGTTCAGTGCTAATTATATTCGTGACACTTTCAGAATTCTTCTTCAGATGAGTGTTGTCCTCACTTTCGGTGGCCAAATGCCTGTAGTTAAGGTAATTCTTGATTTATAGATTAATTTTATATTTTGATTCATGATTATTTTAGGTTAATATTTATAGATCTATTGGAGATACTTCAAACTTGGCTTTTAAGAAGTTGAATCTTGTCCTGTTGTACACTTGCTTGTCCTGTCCTATCCTATCCCATTTTTGTTAAATTTATAGGAATCCGGTTTTTCTGATGTCAAATTGTTGGATTATTCACTTTAGGTGGGAAGAATGGCTGGTCAGTTTGCCAAGCCAAGATCAGAACCATTTGAGGAGAAGGATGGAGTAAAGCTCCCAAGTTACAAGGGAGACAACATAAATGGTGATGCCTTTAATGAGAAATCTATTCCCAGGCTGCATCGACCCTCAACCTTCTCCGAGCCTTTGCTACTGGAGGTTATGCTGCAATGCAGAGAGTTACTCAATGGAATCTTGATTTTGTTGAGCACGGTGAGCAGGGGGACAGGTGGTTTTCTATAAATAAGAATTTGAAATTTGCTCGGAACAATTTCCTATGCGTGGTTTATTAGAGTTTCAGGCTTTCAGCCAAGGCTTATCAGACCATTTGAGATTCTTTGTTATTGGAATTTTCATCAGGTATCAGGAACTAGCTCATAGAGTTGATGAAGCCTTGGGGTTCATGGAGGCTGCTGGACTTACCATTGACCACCTGTTATGTCAACAACTGAATTCTGGACTTCCCATGAGTGCCTGCTATTACCTTATGAGCAATCGCTCACTAGGAAGGATTCAACTTCTGGTCTCCATTATGGTTGCTCGGCTCACATGCTATGGGTTGGCAAACGCACCAGGCAACTAGATGGTGGGCATGTTGATTTTTTGAGAGGAGTTGCTAATCCCCTCGGCATAAAGCTATCCATCTTTCTTATACAAGAAAAGGGGACAATCATTTTGGTCAGTCTCAGTATTACCCTGTTATTATGTGCTGGACTTATGTGACACCTTAATTAAGTAAATTAATAGAATAGCTTGTGGAACATAACATCGCTCTTTATTGACATTTGCATGTTTTTGATGAGCGGAGTCTACGTAGGATTTCATTATGTCATACGGTGCTTGTGACTGAAAACCAGAATTTGGAGAAAAATTCATTTATTCGACCACTCCTATTGGAAAATAGTTGATTTTTCCTCTAAAATCTTGTCAAATTTGGTTGTCCTATTCTCAACTTGCTAACTGTAACGATGATGAATTTAATTATACAAGCAGATTTATCTCTGGCCAAATAAAAAATAAGCAATATGTCCGTGTGGTTGTTGTCCAATTATCTTGATGTCACGCATTAGTTGATGTATTCTATCTATGAAGGCATTATTTCTTTTCAGATTGTGATGGATTTGATGTCAACTCAACTGGCACATATGTGTTCCTTCTCTAGTCAAGCTTTGGAGAGTGGCTGACATGATATTCCTAATCAGTTGGCTAATATTGAATTTCTTTTGCAGAGATGGATCCGAATGAACTTGTTAATCTGATTGAGATCCTGAATCCCATTAACAGGCCTGGAAGAATAACAATCATAGTCCGAATGTGTGCTGAGAGCATAAGAGTCAAGCTTCCACATTTGATCAGGCCCGTTTGCAGAGCAGGACAAATTGTAACTTGGGTATGTGACCCAATGCACGGGAACACTATAAAGGCACCTTACGGACTCAAAACACGCTCTTTCGATTCAATTTTGGTGTAAACTCTTTTCTCGATTTCTTGTGACTGTTTGGATGCTGTCTTGATTGATAATCCTGATTTGCACTCTCTGGACATAATGCATCAATTTTTTTAAAAATATTAATAGAATCTTGTTTAATTGTAAAACTAGCCGCACCAAACCTGTCCAAGGAAAAACTTCTAGTATTCTTGGAGAATGAAGTGCTAAATACTTTCTGCGACTGCTTGATTGACATGTGTATTAACTAGTTGGAACCCAAAGATGATTAATAGTACACGTGTCAATTATATATTGGCAATTTCATGTCATTAGTTGACTGGGTATCTTACAGCATCCCAAGTGGATACACAAACCCGAAATCCTGATTAATGGGATAGCACATGGATGGACAAAGAAATTTGTTTTTAACGTGCAAACACGTGTTTGTGTTTAACCAAATTACAACACAATGACCATTGTAATAACATGTGCCGTGTTTATTTTGTAGGCCGAGGTGAGAGCATTCTTCAATGTACATGAGCAGGAAGGCAGCTATACCCTGGTGGAATACATTAGGAAATGACTGGGCAGAATGTATTGGAGGATCAAGAACTGTGACTTACAATGATTTAAGTTCTCGCTACCCCACACATTGTGATCCAAGACTAAATGCTTCACAGTCTCTTGAACCAGCCTTCGTCATCGCTGAGAGATTAAGGAAAAAGAGGATGCCATCTCAACGTCTCCCCTCTCTCGGCCAGTAGGCAGCTTCATGATCATTTCTGATTAGCCGATAATGCAGAATAGTTTTCAAGGTTTTCAAAATAATCAATCATTTAGCCACAAAGCACCATATGAATTGGTGTTCTGGGGGTTGTAACTTTAAAAGCTACCTTCGACTGGAAGTGGGAAGGAGAAAAACCTTGGCCTGTCTTTTATGGAGAACAATGAACTTCTATGTTGAAATTTGTCGAATTAAAGTTTTTGATTTAATAACAAATCCGTAACACTGACAACAAATACGGGAATGGATTCTGTTCAGCTATTTATTTTCTGCCACAGTTTCTTTCTTGCACATCTAATTAGTTGATATTTTGTGTTATTGTGTGGTAGTCACGTGCGGTTATGGTATATGGATCAACTCTTAAGGTAACGATCACCTATTCAATCAATGGGTCATTTTCTGACACTAAGTGAATTTAAATTTTAAAAAAAAAAAAAAAGAGTCATTCAGTAGATAGTTCAAAACTTTGGATGTGACAAATTTAAAAGGGGGAAAAAAATGGAAAAAGAAGTTGTGAAAGAATAGTATTGTTAATATGGCTGGGCTGCCTCACTATTTTACTTGGCCTATTGGGCAGTACTTTATTTTTGGGCTACCTATTTTCTAAAACCGTGTTGGAGTCCGTCTGAAAAAATGTGGTTTATAAATAACAACTTTGCTTCTTTTAAATGGGTTGTGATCTGTCGCCCACATGGCTTATTCTTGACCTTGGATCACGTTCGTTGGTATGGATTTATACGTATACTTGGATCTTTCGTCTTCTTCAAGCCAGAGGGTGGTTGTTCATTTTCTCTATGTGAGATAGGGTTTTTCTAAAATCTGTAACTGTTATTTTGTGTTTAACATCTGTTCTTTTAGTAAGAGTATGATTTCTTTGTGTTATATTGGTGAGATTATGAGGGTTTTGGTTATCGATTGTAAATGGAGAGGCTACAGAGAACTTGAAGAGATCTTTGATTTCTTCATACATCTTGTACTATTTCTTGATTGATATTAGTAGATCTAGAGAAATATCTCTTGGCAGATGTTCAACCGGTGTTTAGGTTTAAATACTGAACATCCTAACCCTTTTTAGGGCAAAACAATTCTTATGTTCTTGAGTTTTTTTTTTTTTTTTCCATCTTTGCAACATTTTAAAATTTACAAATGTTAAAGCTTTTTTGAATGATTTGGGTATAACAAGTGGGATCAAAGCTTTTTTTTTCTTTTTTTCTTTTTTTTTTCTTTTTTTTTTATCTTCAAAGGTTTTGTCTAAGGGTTTGTTTTGGAAAACCCTAGTTTTTCAAATCTTTATAAAGTTGTAGATCAGAAAATTCTTTTTAAGTTTTACGCAAAAACTGGTTTTTGAAAAAGATAGTTGTTGATCTAGGTTGGATATCTTAGTGATAACTTATCATTTTCTCAATCAGTTCTGTAAGATCCTTTAAGATCGTGCTTGTTCTTGAGGTTAAAATATGTTCCTTTCCTATAAACCTTCTGAATCACTTTTGACTCTATTTGATCTGTTGTTTATGCAACTCTAATCTGACTCACTACTAAGTCCTGGTGGTTCTTATAACTCGTACTGTGTGTTGGCAAGTTGAGTTCACTTTCTCCAATTCCTATTAAGATCATGACTCATTGTTGAGTTCCACTAAGTTATTGTGACTCGTTGGGTTCTTGTGCTCAAATTATGATTCTTGGTTCAATTCTGGCATTTTATGCTTCCTCCATTCCTTCTAAATTTTTGAGATTTCGGACTCTGGTGTTTTCCAAACTCTCTCCTTATTTGGTGATTGTTCTTGTTAATTCTAAAACAAGTTATTAAGGTAAGAAATCTACCATTACTTTCCTTTTGTCTAAGATCTCTTGCGATGATCTAGGAATCTAAGAGAATAGTGGAACCAAGGGTTACCACTTCTTAAACTGTTTCAAATTGACAATCATACTTGTTAACTATAAACCTGTGATCATGTGAATTGCATGATAAGTAGGCACAAACTCTCACACTTGATTTATTCTAAAATTCACATTGTCTGCTATTAGATTGAGTTGCTTGAAACAATGATAATGTGTGTGTTGTATTGTTGTGTGTGTGTGTGTGTGTGTGTGTGTGTGTGTGTGTGTATATATATATATATAAAATGATAGCATTTTTATTACAATAGAGGTGTGTTGGTGCCCTTGATGGAATTTGAGCTGCTGATATTATTGCTTATAGGAAACAAGAACTTGATGAGATTGCTTGGAGTTCCATATTTCTTCACCTGTCTGATAGTGTGATTAGAGAAGTTGGTGAAACCACTATTGCTGAGATCTTATAGGCTAAGTTAGAAACTCTTTACTTGGTGAAAATCATGCCAAATAAGTGTTACCTCCTATGGTAGTTCTATAACTTTAGATTTGACTCTTTCTACAGCCTAAAAGAAAATATTGACAAATATACAAATTTAATTCAAAGCTTGACTCACTGAGATGAGAAACTTCCTAATGATCAACAAATTGTTGCCCTGTTGAATTTACTAAGTGAAAAATAAAGGGACATTAAAAATGCCTTAGATTACGGGAGAGAAGATCTTATTTTTGATATCATAATTTTAGCTTTGAGGAACAAAGAACTTGAACTAAAATTTAAGCTTAAAGATTCTAAACTTGGTGAAGGGCAAAATATAAAAGAAAGTTGAACTAAAATAAAAAGAATAATATGTGTAACTTCAATTCCTACAAGAATGGTAAACCCCACAATCTTAGATTCAAAAACTAAAACAAGAATCTAGTGAAATCTAAGAATCAAGTCGGGAAATGCTATTACTTTGGAAAGAGATGACACTTGAAAAATATTGTTTCAAGAATATCTTTGACATGAAAGAAAGAAACAACTTTGATGAACTATAGCCACTGCCTGCAAGAATAATCTTGATATTCAAGGTGTTGTCCTTATCAATACAACAAAAAGAGACCTTAAAGAATGTTGTTGACTCTGACTGCACTTTCCTATGTGTCCCATTAAAGAATTGTTTTCTAAATTTGTTGATCTTAATGGAGGACAAATTTAGATGGAAAATGACATGAGTTGTCAAATTAAGGGAATGGAAAACTAAGATTGCTATTAAATAACAACTATATATTTTAGTTGAATAACACCGGATATGTGCTTAAACTTAAAAGAAATTTAATCTCTTTGGGAGAATTAGATGACAAATACAATATATTGATTCACAAAAGTCTTATAAGGTTGAATTATGAAGATCAAGATGTTATCTCATCTTCTAAGATAGAAGGAATCTACACTGTTTATACTGAATCTGTAGTAGGTCACAGCTCCATAGCTGTAAACTCTAACTCTGATAAGTCTTTAGTCTAGTATAAAAGACTTAGACCACATTTCTGAAAAGGGACTGATCATTTTAAATAAACTTGGATATTTTGAAAATGATGATATTGAAAGGCTGGATTTCTGTAAAGACCATGTTATTGGAAAACAAAAAAGACGACCTTTTAAAACTGGAATCATTAAATTCACTTCTATTTTAAACTATTTACATGCTGACCTTTGGAATCCAACCTCTGTAAATACGTTAATTGGTTTTAGATTTTATTTACTAATACTAGATGACTTTTCTAGAGAAATATTGACCTTTCTTTAAGACAAAAATTTGATACTTCTCAAACCTTTAAACAATGGAAATTAATGATTGAAAATTAAATTAATCGGAAAATCAAAGCACCGAGAACTGATAATGAACTTGAATTCTGTAATTTTGAATTTGAATCACTCTTCAAAGAATCTGGAATTCTAAAGCATAAAATTTAACATAGACCCTGCAACAAAATAGTGTTGCTGAGAAAATTAATAGAACTTTATTGGAAAAGTCGGGTGTATGTTACACAATTCTAGTCTTCCAAAATTTTTCTGGGAAGAAGCCCTAAAAACTGCCTCCTACTTATAAATAGAAGTTCACGTCTAGTGCTATTAATTTTCAAGTTCCTTAAAAACCGTGGTAAGGATATACACCAGATTATAAACAGACTTCAAGTTTTTTGTTGTACTACCTATTTTCATCAAAGTGAAAACAAACTTGAATCTAGATCCTTAAAATGTGTTTTTCTGGGCTATGGAGAGAAAACTAAAGACTATAAACTTTGGGTTAAAATCCAAAATGGCTTTTAAGGTGTTATCGATAGAAATGTCATTTTTAATGAAAATGACATGCACCGTAATGACTCATGAAATTTGAAATCTGGTGATCATGCACCTATTATGGAAAATATTCTGCAGAACAAAATTGAAAATGTTGATAATCAAGACGAATCAATTAAGGGGGAGTCAACTCAATCTGGAATTAATCATGATCAAAATGAACCTAAAAATGAAATCGAATCCAATAACCCATCTCTTACTGATTATTAACTTGCAAGAAATAGAGAAAGAAGGAACAAAATAGACTCCTTAAATTCTTAACCTACTACTTTTGAGGAAGTTATTAACTTCCCAGAATCAAAACTTTATTGTAATTCATAGTTAATGTCGTTGGTTTAAAGGGATGCTTTTTGCATTTTTAGTGCGGAGGAGGGGGCCTTTCTATTGGAATCTATTGGTAGATATTCTGATGATCAATCCAACGATCCAGAAAGTGAAAACGCTTATGCGGGAAATCAAAAGAGAACCAACCGCTTAGTGAACATTACTA